TATCATTGTCAGACCCCCTGAAATGTGCCCCTTTGTACAACCTTAACCTTTGTACAACCTTCTCAGGATTCTCACTTGCTGAGAACTGTTCCTTTTGTTTCTTCTCCAAAGTGCAAGGGGACACCTTTCCCTAGACCAGCTCATACACATCTTGTGAATGTACGAACCCTTGAAGCATATTTGTTAAAAGTGTTTTTCAGGAAGAGGTTCTCTGTTTTGTTTGGAGCAGCCACAACACTACTTAAGTGATTTCTGTACTCAGAACACCAAATAAATCTCTTGGTTCAGTAGGATATTTTCTCCTCTTCCGGAGTGTTTTGAGTACATTGAAAGAGTGACAAACACTGAGCAGGACAACAACTCCATTTTACAGCATTATACCCATCTGCCCTCTAGCACTAAGATACGGCTTTTTTCTTTAATGACATGAATTGAGGTATGACAGATTCCTCTCAAGTCTCACATCAGATCCTTTTGAAACAAAACCATTAAGTGCCAGGCGCCTTACAATCTATTCACCAACTTTTTCCTCAATACCATAGTGAATCTGGTGTCATTGCCAAGGTAGTCCCACAAATGAACCAAGTGAGAGAAAAGAGCAGCTCCCATGCTTCTCCCAAGAGGATATCACTTCTCATCTGGCTGGAGTGCTGTTTCCTTCTCTACCACCTTTGAATTATGCAGCTGTTCTGGCCCAAAATCAGCTCCTGGCCAGGGCAAGCCTCCAAAGCCTGCAGCCCTGCTCTGCTTGTTGGTACTGAGTGTAAGTGCTGGATGAGTCTCTTCTGTTCCCATATCTGATAAGTTATTTCTACAGGGATTGTCAATGAATGATCTTTAATGTGAGTTTCTTATGGCACTACTCATCACTGAAAATTGTGCGGTAGGACATTATTACTACAGAGGACCAAATTTGAAAACAACAACTCATGCTTTTCAAGGGAAAAGAAGCAAAACCTTTATTCCTGAATCAAGGAGATGAGTTCTCAGCCTCAGAGGATTAAGAAGATGCTACTTTCAAAGATATGTTACAATGACATATGATACATTATGATATGGAAGAACAGGGAAAGATCAGCAGTGATTACAAAAATTTGAAGAACAGGATGGCAACAGACAATTACAAAAAAATTGTATTCAGAAGTTTGTAGAAGTATAGATTCTTCTGCTACTGAAAGGGAGTGAACTTGTTATGTTCCTGCTGAGGTGATGACAAGGGCTCTTCATTTATTCTCTAGATAACTTGACACCAGTCTAATTGAAAACAAAATGCGATAAAAAAAGAAGAACAATAAAATAGTAATGATAAAAACCATCAGACAACAGAAACAAATACAGGAACTGGCTGGATGACCTTGCCCAAAGAGTTAGCATCAATGTTTGAATGTTCAAGTGGGAATCAGCCACGTACGGTTTCCATCAAGGGTCGGTACTGGGGCCAAAAGCATTTTGTCAACTTTCATCAGAGTGTCATTGATACTGGGAGCAAGTGCAGCCTCAGCGAGTTCACAGATGACACAAAGCTTTGTGGCCATGGGTGTGTTTGAGGGAAGGGATGACGGCCACAGGGAACTGGACAAACTTGGAGAAGAGCCCATGTGAACCCCCACCAACCCCTCCTGCAGTTCTGTGTCCAGCTCAGGAGGCCCCAGCACAGGAAACTCATGGCCATGACAGAGCAGGTCCAGAGGAGCCCCACAGAAACAGACACAGGGCCTCAGGCTGGGAGAACAAACCCTGCTGAGACTGCAGAAGAGAAGCCTCTGGAGAGGCCTGCCTGAGGCCTTTCAACATACAGCAGTGGGGGACTTTTAAGAAAAACAGAGATATTTTACCAAGGCCTGCAGTAGCAGGATGAGGAGCCCAGGTTTTAAACTGATGCAGCGTAGCTTCAGAGTAAAGGAAGAAATTTGTTCTGGCGAGGGTGGAGAGACAGTGGAACAGGTTTCCCAGAGAAGCTGTGGATGTCCCACCTCTGGAAGTGTTTAAGGCCTGGTTGCATGGGGCTTTGAGCAACCTGGTCTAGTGAAGGATGTCCATGCCCTTTTCAGTGTAGGGATGGAACTAGATAATCTTTAAATGCTCTTTCTATCCTAAACCATTCTATGATTCTATGACTGTGATCCAGAAATAGATGAATATATCCCCTCCAGTATATCCTTGCAAAAGGACCAAAAAATATAACCGAGATTTTCCTCATCTTTGCCCTCAGCTCTACCAGGTCACTTCTCAAATACATCTCCCTCTTCTGCTATTAAATGGACAAGTGCTGAGACTTCTGCTGCTCCCACTGCGTGTATGTTTCCACTGTAGGCAAAACTTACTAATTAAAAGAACTTCCTGGCAGTTAGTTCAATATATCCATTTTGTTCAGATTGTCTGTTGTTCTTTATAAATCTTTGTAAATGTTTGATCAGATTTATCCCCTGCATCTCCTCAAAAACCTGATTCTTATTATCACTGCTGGCATATGCCCCTTTACAATGGTTACACAAATATGTGATAAATCTGCTATTTCCGTTATTTACTTTCTAAGCTACTTGTTCTTAATTCTCATCTTTTTCCTGTGTGTAAAGAGGATTGTGAGAAGGAATTTCTCTGCTAGATAGCATTGATTTTATTGGAGTTCTGGACAAACAGTAAGAGAAAACCCATCACTTGTGATTTCTCATGCCAAACTGCGCAAAGCCTGGCGGAGCACCTGCAGAACAGCCACCCCTCGAGAAAAGGTTTAACATGCATGCACTGATCCTTGACTAGTGAGTAAGCCCAGCCTTCCAGGGCCACTCTGACTTACCTTGGCTGTCCACACCAGACCACTCACCAAAACTGCATAGACCAAGGCTTTGCCACAGAGGATGAGGTAAGTGAGCTTCAGGGAATTTCCATACCGCAAGTACGACTCTGCAAGTCAAACACCATTTGTATTTGTGTATTCAGTTTTCATCATCATCATTACAAGATGGTAGTTTCAATGGAGCTTTCATCAAATGAGAACCCTTGAAATCCTTAGCTATGCAACATCAAGGAACTAGAGGCAAATGAGTGGCTCTGTTGACACCAGAGAACCAGGGAAGGGACAGAACATGGAGACTTAAAGAACCAAAAGAGAAAGCAAGTCTAGGAAAGACAAAGATCGGCTTTATGCTGGGAAAGTATTGAGTTCCACACCCACTGATGAACTGGGCTGTTCATCTGAGTCCCCAGATAGGAACAGAAAATAGGCTGAATCGCACGATACAAATGTTTTATTTTGTCTCATTACTGAGAGTGGCCTTATGAGTGCTGCTGATGGACCAGGAAAGTTTTACAAAGCCCAGAATAAGATGGCTTCTAGATGTTTTATTCTTGTGGATTTTTCACTCTTAAGGGGTTGCCATAGTATTGAGATACAAGATCTGTCTTGGTTCAGCCTTAAGATTGCTGAAGCATTAAAGAAGCTCTTGAAAAACTGGAGTGTGCAAATACGTGTACAAAGAGGAAAGAAATGTAATTTGTACTATTGATATCCTCCATACAGTACAGCAGTGTGGAGCGGAATGTGACTTGTCATGGGAATTGTTCTGAGTTTGATACTGAGAAATATTCAGAATATCATATCCTAAATCTTGATGCCAGAATCACTTGGGCAAGTATGGATCGTTTCTTGCCCGGCTGAGCAAGAATTTCCCAATGTAAGTCAGTTTCTAGGACTGGAGGAGATGATAAAGAGTACATTTCAGTCTACAGGAAGGTACCATAATTTCTTTTGTTTTCAAATGGAATCACATGGGAGAGCTAAAGCCCAAAGCTGAGCTACATACAATATGCACAAACAGCCCTCCAAAAAACTTTTCTTCTTTTCCTTTCTTTTTAATAGCACAGACAAATCACTTACAGGAGAAAGAAGAAGCTATTCATACAGCAGATATCTCCCACACGTTGTACTTAATGTTAGTAAAACTGGCATTAAAATACACACTGATAACTGCCTGAGAGTAGAGGCAAAATTCTCTTTATGGGAGTAGCCACACGTACCTTCTGTGAGTGCACAACCTGAAAGACAAAAATGAACGGAAAGTCATGTTTCTTTTCAGAGCAAACAAAATACAGATTTTAGAAGTTTCACTATATAGAGCACAACACTGCCTCGTTCCTCCTGCTACTCTAGGGGCTTTATGATACTGTGCAATTTACCCCACTACAGAGATTTCTCAGTGGAAAGCCTCAAAAAACTCAGCATTTAGAATGCTATCACAGGGACAAAGGCCCAGGAATGGGAAGAGACATATGCTAATACCTCAATATTTAGGTCTGTATTTGCGCCAGAAGAACACCTTGTATGGAAGCTACATATAGATGTGGTTATATCAAAACACTTGCTCTTTTGATTTGTGATATCTATCTTAGACAGCATGGTAAGAGATGTTTTTTTTACTCACCAGCATCACCAGAGATAAATTTGTTTATTGATGCTGTTGTTCCATTCTGAAAAAAATTGGCAACACACTCGAATCGATTCAGAGGGTTGAACCACTCCCAGGCTGGCATCCTCAGTCGGCTGGTCAGTGAGTAGGTGCTCCCATTCTGTGTGGAGGAGTCGTCTGTCCCCACCCCTTCGGTCCTCTTCACACCATTCACCCTCCACCCCAGAGTCAGGTGGTCAGGGTAGAAACCAGAGGCCAGGCACACCAGCGTGGCCTTGCTCTTCTGCTGGATCTCCTGCTTGGATGGGGAAAAGATGGCCACAGCTGGAGGTATGATTTCATCATTCTTCCCTGAAACACAAAGCAACATGGTCCAGAGCCTCCATGCCTCTGTTCAATCAGAACCCCCTGAAAATGGTCCTGAGTTTGTGCCCTGTTACTCCTGAAATACCTGGCCTTTGCCTGCTGTCTGTTGGACAATTAATGTCTATTGGATATGACACAGCAGGAAAGTGGAAGGATTTCTTTTCACTCGTTTCACAGAAACATAAAAGGGTCTGGCCACAGAAATGCAGCGGCACATGGATTTCTTGTAGTGCCTCTGTCAGAAGAATACAAAGCTTCAAAGAAACTGAGCAAACAGATGGGCAGAAAAGTCCCCAGTTTTGCTGTAAGGCCTGTATTTGTAATCTTCTATGAATAGATAAGGGAGTCTCTTTTAAGGCACAAACATCTTCAGCAAACTGAGTTATATAACTGGGGATGGAGTTAAGACACATGGTGGTCATTGCAGTGCTCAGATTTATGCTGTCACAGGATACCCTACTTGGCTCCCCATCTACGAGATGACCTGGAAGGAAAGAGCTGATCCTTCTCACTGTCTGAAGTGAAAAACAATTGTGGCAGGTAACATCAATCTGCCAGGGATCACGTTTTGCCTTGGGTCTTAACCAATCCATTTTTAAGAATATTAAACATGTCTTTATGTAATTTAAATTTTCAGTTATTGTAGGTGTGAGAAGCTCTGATCCTAGGCTACACACATTCCTAAAATGATGCAAGATTCTATAGGCTGGCAAATCAAGCATTGTTCCCTGTCCTAATGTGTTTAATATCTACTTTTAAGATTAATGAAAACAGACCTCAGCCAAAAGGATGTACGAGGCAGCCATGAGAAGTTATTCAGAAGCTAAGCAGGGACCCTAAAAGCCAGGAAGTTTTCATATACTATATCTCATGCTAGATGAGTAAAAAAATATATTTTTGACTCATCTAGCATGAGAAGCCCATGAGGTCTATAGAGTGCTGGTGGAAAAAAGAATGTAGAGAAAACTGTGGAGCCAAAGAGAAGATTATTACCCTGGGTTGGTTTTTTGTATCAAGGCACTATGAATTGTGGTTGTTCTTTCTGATCACTCTCTCCTTTGCAGAGGAAGAGAGGTAGCAGAATGAGCAGAAATGAATATCTTGCAGAGATCTTGTCCCCTAAGCCCTTGTGTTTGCATTCAAGTGATGCCTTAATTGTGACCACCAGTGCTTGCTCTGCAAAGATCCCTGGGCTGCTTCTGCATGAGCTTGTACAGACTTTAGATGACCTGGATATTAAATGGAGATAATTCCCTAGAGTGTTTAGCACTGTTCTCTTTCCTTTTAGTGGGTATGGAGAGAGGTTGATCACTTCTACTTCTCCCTTCCAGCACTTGGCATTATGACTTTTTTTTCCTATTCTAAAATTATTTCTGACAAATTCTTCAGCTCATAGCCTTAACAGCTAATAAGTGAAGAGGTGGCAACAGATAGGAGGGCAAAAGAAAAAGGAGAAATTTAATAGCCTAAAGAAAAAAAGAAACAAACAACCATGGTAGGTAGGTGAAGGAGAGAGACAGAAAGAAAAAATTATAAAAGTACTGAAACTACTGGAAACACAAAGAAAATCAGAAAATTGGCATGCTTGAAATGGAATAAAGGGATTGGTAAAAGCAAGGACTCGAGAAAAAAGTCTGATCAACAGCCCATTGTGTTCTGGTCATCCATGCTGCTCGTGGTAGACACTGACACAAATCTCGATCACTTCCATGCATAAACTCCTTCTCTCTCACACAGACTTCACCCACCTGAGAGAAGAAGTATCACAGTTCCTCCATTCCCATCATTGCAAGGTCAGTTTCACAATTTCTTGTTATCTTTCACTCCTACTCTCATTTTAAAATCATCTGTGTATATGCTACATGTCATGAATGCAAGGGCAATTTTCAGGTGTCCTCCACACTGAGCACTTGGGTAAACAACAGCTCCTTACCTATGACTGTGAGCACAGTACCAACTCCAAAGTTAAGCGGCTGGTTTGCACAGCTGTACAAAGTCAGGCTCTAACCCCCGGGGGCATTATGCTCTTCCTACCAGCCACATAGCTGCTTAAAATGGTACTGTTTAAAGCAGCAGGCACCAGTGAATATTTCTACATTTTGCTATCAGATGGGGCAGTAGCAGATAGAAAAAGTTACTTTGCCTTGTCATTCCAAAATGCCTTGATACAGGTGATGTTCAGTCCTTTGCTGGGATGGGGGAAAACAAAGAAAGAAAATGGGGAAAAATAAAAAGAATAGAGGGGGAAAGTATGCTTATAATAATACAGTCCTTGCTGAGCAGCAGAAATTGTGAAAGCAGAAGACAGCATCCCAAAGCAACTTTAGACAGACTGACAACCATCTACAGACAGGCAAGCAAAGTGCCAGCATGATTACTCCTTCCCTCCATGGTTCAGCACACAGGAGAATCCAGACTCTACCTTCAAAATGCTGCTTTGGATCATTGCACAGATAAACTGTAAAAACCTGCAGACTAGAGAAGCATTTTTCATACCCAACCTCTATAATATTTCCTTGGAAGATGGGTGAAAATAAAATTATTTATTCCCTTCTCCCTTCATGAAGTTCCCAGAAATTAAAGACAAAGACTGCAGGCACAAAGACCTCAGCATTTATGCCTGTAAATCCTACATTTCCATAATGGCACATCTCATTTTAATAAGCAACCAATAAAACATTAATCCTGTTCTCATGACAGCATGAAAAATTATCATTATTAAGCTTTTAATTAAGAATGTTCTTGTCCCCTAAACCAGTTTCACATAAATCACAGAGATCCGACATTTTACTTACCTATGACCGTAAGTTTTGTCCCACTGCCAAAGAACAGTCTATTATTATTCACACCATTTTGCAGCTGCAGAAAAACCTCTCCTCTACTCCCAGTCCTCTGAGCCAAGCCTGTGGACTAACCCTCCCCTCATGTGGTACCAGAAAAGAAGAAATACAGAGTACATTTATCTCAGGTCTCCTAGAAAACAGGCCTGTAAGGGAACACCAACAAATCTGCGTGTCTAAAAAGCTGTTGTTGGATGTTCCAACAATTTTTTAGATTATATTTATCTATTTATCTAAATGTCATATTAGAATATTAGAAAGTATTTCCCATATGTCAGCATTCCCTGAGATCTCTTTCTCTTTGAAATGAATAATATATTAGTTTTCTGTGGTTTTCAGTGGCTGTTTAGCACCTATTCTGAAATAGTAAGACCATTGTCCTTTGTGGTATTTGTATCACCATCCTGGTGAGCCTGTACAGTGGAAAGAAACAGGCTCTGCTGTGGAGACCTACTTTCTATAACAACAAGGACTTAAAAAGCTGCAGAGAGATTTTAGTATTACTTATTATATAGTTGAGTACTTATTAGTACCTTCTTTTTTATAAATTAAAAATGCCAGCACACGCGTTTTTCCAGGTTCTCTGAGACAACACATTCTTTAATTCACCCTGTGAAGATCTATGATAATTTAGGCTTGTATTGTCTTGATCTTGTTTTGTAGACCCCTTCAAAGTGCAACTCTAAGTCAGTTCTTTCCAGACAGACAAATCAGCTTTTCACTGACTTGTCCTTAATCACCCCTCTAGCCCCAGCAGAACCAGTGTTGTAGAGAGTAGCTATATTTTTTGGGAATTTTTGCATGTGTTGATTTGATAGGACAACTTGTTTTTTTATGTCATGTAAACATTATTTATCCTATCCCTTATCCTCATTCTTTCTAGGGACAGCTTTTTCTTAACTGAAAACACATTCATTCAGTTCTCCAAAATGAAAGGTGTGTCCCTACCTAGAGGACCCAACTTACTCTATGCTGAGAAGTAGACAGGCCTGCTAACACACCGGTTTAATAATGATAGGGAGGTTAATGATGACATTCTCTAATGAGAAGACAAGGCATTTGAAGTGAACTAAAAGAGGAAACAAAAGTTTCTTACCCATTACTGTAAGTTTTGTGCCACTGCCAAAAACCATATCAGCAGAAATCACAGTGACCAAGTGATGTACCATAAGCTAAGAGAAGGCATGCACTGCAGCTGCCTTACTAGAAGCACAAGCTTTAGAAACCATTATTGTTTTTGGAATTCCAAACATCACTCATTCTCTATTTGAGGTGGTTTGCCTATAACAGGGAACTAAAACAAATCCCACTGTTTTCCCTTCCATGGCAGGCCGGTTGGCTTGAATAGTCTTGCAGAATCCCGTTCAGTTTTCTGATTGGTTAAAATAATCCACACAAGGAGAGCCCAGAAGAATCTGTTGACCAGTCCCAGACAAACATTGCATAGCCATTAGGAAGAACTGCAGTGAGACAGCAGGGATAGGGATTACAGGCAACCTTTGTTCTCACAGACATAAGGCAGTCAACAGATATTGGAGGATTATTTAAGACAGAAAACCCCAACGCATTTCATGTAGTGCCTCTGAGAGATACCTGCTACATGTCAGAATTCTAACACTTGTACCACATTAGGAAAGAAACGTTTTGTCATCTATTATAAACATTAGTGCATCAGGAAAAGATAATAATTCCAGCTTTGCACGGTTGATTGGCTTTAGATGCATCTGCAGTCACAGTTTGGTTTGGTGAAAATTAATTTCGATGTCTCAGAATTTCCTAGCTTGCTTGCCAGGGAGGGCAGGCTCAGTTCTCAGATGATGAAAGTAAATCCCAGCATACAAGGTGTGTTAAGAGAAACCAAGGCAGAGCACGCCTGTTCTGCTGCAGGATTCTCTGCAGCTGCCTTAACATGCTCTGCCCCAAGGTGCATGAGTTTTTGTAAAGGCTTCCCGGAGAATGTATCATAGTGGTCCCCCCGCTGTTGTGCCACAATGATACAACCTGGTACAAAAACAATCCCACCCACGAGTCCACCCCCTGTTTTTGTTAACCAGGAATGATTGCCATGATTACCTATGCTGATTTGGCCTGTGGTTCAGTTAATTTACTTGAAAGAGGCTGCTGTGGGGCTGTCTTTTGGGCTTGTTCTGCAAATACTGTTGACAAGATAGAAATGTTTTTGTTATTGCTGAGCAGTGCTTACACAGCATTTAAGGGCTTTTAGGCTTCTCATACCAACATGCTGGCAAGGAGGCTGATGGGGCATAGGAACTTGGGAGGAAGGACAGCAGGGAGAGCTGATCCCAACTGATCCAAGGGATAGTCCATATCCCATGCTGTCATGTTCATTATGTGAAAGGGGCAAGTAGGGGAAAGAAGAAGGAAGAGAGGGAGATTTGGAGTGATGGTGTTTTTCTTTCCAAGTCACCATTACAGGTGATGGGGCCCTGCCATCCTGGGAATGGCTGAACCCCTGCCCACCCATGAGAAGTGGAGAATGAATTCCTTGTTATGCTTTGCTTAAAGTTTTTGCTTTACCTCTTAAACTGTCTTTATCTCAAGCCATGAGTTTTTCACTTGTGCTTTTCCGATTCTCTCCCCAGTCCTGCTGGTGGGGAGTGAGCAAGCAGCTGCGTGGGGCTTGATCCTGGCTACGGCTAAACCATGACTGAGCCACAGACCACATCCTTCCTTTGCCACTGCTGTTTCTTTGTGATAGTCCAATTACCTCTCAGTGTATCCAATAGTCCTCAATTTATAATCTCAATAATTTTTCTTATACTCAAAAAGGTAACACTTTTTATTCTTTTATAGGCTGGCTTTAAATGCAGTCATTTTTCACTTGGTAATGTCATGGCAGTGTTCATGCTGCTTTCCTTTCTATTCTTTCTCTCTTCTCCCCCCAGGATGACAAAAACCTTTAACCCACCCTAACTGTGTTGCAATGAGAGTAATTATAGTAAGTATACTATGGGCTGGTATTAGGCTTTGTAGCTTGGTGTTGCTTGAGAGGGTACTCCCAGGGCTTGTGACTCTGAAAGGGCTTCTTTTAGGAGTAAGAGCAATCCTTCATTTTGAAGACTGTCTGAAGGGATGAAAACTGATCGGGAGAGGTAACAGGCTACATTTATCTCCTCCCTTATACATAAGTGGTGCAGTCTTGTCTCACAAAGTGTTGAGACATATTTAACAACGAAACCTAAACATGTTTTTACATTGCTCTTTAACAGTTTCACTTGATTCTTTTTTATATGAAAAATAGACTACAAAGCACAGAACAAAATACTTCAAAACAAAATCATTCTACTAGGAAAATCACAAATTTTTTTTTATATTATTTTCATTGTTATCTTCTGTATCCAAATTTACACTGTTGCACCTCTACCTTAGTCTGTGTTTTTCCTACATCTATGCAGGAAACATTTATACATAAAATGTATGACTCCATTCTTCATTTAGCCCTGTGTGAGCTTCCACAAAACTGTGTGAGCTTCCACAGAACGTTTCCTCCACAGAAGAAATGGTTTAACTTGTGGTGTGAGATAATAATGAGATGCAAAGTGGATGAAAGATCTCCAGAAAGACTTTCCACATTTACTAATCCCTTGAGTATATAGTTTATGGTGCACAGAAAAGGTCACCACAAACAACGTTTTACAGAAACACACTCTGGTTCCCTTTGCTTCTTCTCCACTACAGGTTAGATTCTCTTCCCTATCTCTCAGTTGTATCCATTTTACCTTATCTCTGAGTTGTGTCTTCATTTTTATTTTGGTTTTCTTAGTTCTTATTTCCTTGTTTTATTACTCTTCCTCATTTTTCTTTTTGCTCTTTCCTTTGGAAGGACAACACAATTTAGTCATACTTCATCCATTGTCTAGTCCACCTGGCATTCTTTCCTTCCTTTTGCCTAAAATCCTCCTCTTCATTCTCACTAGCTGTTTCTCTTGAAAATTGTGAGAGACACAGTATAATTGTAGAAAAGTGAACTTACATAAATATCACCCTGAAGACATCACTTTGCCCAAAGTGGTCTCATGTATGGCTAGAACAACAAATGGGTGCAGAGTAGAATTCTGCTTTTCTCCTTGGAGCTAAGCTTCAGCCCCATCACTAGCATAGTCTCTAAAAAACACTCTTGAAAAAGAGCTTGATGGACAAAAAATTTCCTTTAAACATACTTCAATCCATAAGAAAAGAAAGAAAAAGGAGATATTATATGAGCCCAGATATGTATCTGTCTCTCTTTCAAAGTGGTCTCTTTGCACCTCTATAATAGCAGGAGGGTGTGAGAATGACAATTACAGGGCTTGTAGCAAGCTTGGAAAAGAACAGGATTGCATTGCAGACCTCGGTCTCAATTTCCAGAGACTGAGAGATATGAATTCAGTGTGGCAACATTCTTCATATTCCAGAGACTAAAGGGAAGTCTCTGTCATTTGCCAGATTCCTCCCTGCCATAGAACAGCTTAGTTATGTCCCTCCTTCACACCGTAGCTTGTCTGCTCCAAAATTCCTATGCCCAAGTTTGTCCCCTGTTCACTTTGACCAAGTTCTGCCATGACCACTCTGAAAGTCTGTGCGTGTGAGGAGAAGATTGATCTGGGGGCTTTTCTGACAGCTCTGATAAATTCAGCCATTTTCACCAAATGTCCTAATAAATTATATTCATCTTAATGTGTTTCAGGCTGAGCTGGAATTATTTTTTAATATTCCATTCTGCTGTGCTCCAGTCTATTCTAACTTCATAGAGCATGAATAATGGGACATTTCTTTTTCTTGGGAAAAGAACCCATCCTCAGAATCAAAAGATGACTCTTTGTTTATCATTGTCAGACCCCCTGAAATGTGCCCCTTTGTACAACCTTCCCCTTTGTACAAGCTTCTCAGGATTCTCACTTGCTGAGAACTGTTCCTTTTGTTTCTTCTCCAAAGTGCAAGGGGACACCTTTCCCTAGACCAGCTCATCTTGTCAACATAAGACGCCTTGAAGCACATTTGTAAAAAGTGTTTCTCAGGAAACAGTTCTCAGTTTTGTTTGGTGCAGCCACAACACTACTTAAGTGATTTCTGTACTCAGAACACCAAATAAATCTCTTGGTTCAGTAGGATATTTTCTCCTCTTCTGGAGTGTTTTGAGTACATTGAAAGAGCGACAAACACTGAGCAGGACAACAACTCCATTTTACAGCATTATACCCATCTGCCCTCTAGCACTAAGATATGGCTTTTTTCTTTAATGACATGAATTGAGGTATGACAGATTCCTCTCAAGTCTCACATCAGATCCTTTTGAAACAAAACCATTAAGTGCCAGGTGACTTACAATCTATTCACCAACTTTTTCCTCAATACCACAGTGAATCTAGTGTCATTGCCAAGGTAATCCCACAAATGAACCAAGTGAGAGAAAAGTGCAGCTCCCATGCTTCTCACAAGAGGATATCACTTCTCATCTGGCTGGAGTGCTGTTTCCTTCTCTACCACCTTTGAATTATGCAGCTGTTCTGGCCCAAAATCAGCCCCTGGCCAGGGCAAGCCTCCAAAGCCTGCAGCCCTGCTCTGCTTGTTGGTACTGAGTGTAAGTGCTGGATGAGTCTCTTCTGTTCCCATATCTGATAAGTTATTTCTACAGGGATTGTCAATGAACGATCTTGAATGTGAGTTTCTTATGGCACTACTCATCACTGAAAATTGTGCGGTAGGACATTATTACTACAGAGGACCAAATTTGAAAACAACAACTCATGCTTTTCAAGGGAAAAGAAGGAAAACCTTTATTCCTGAATCAAGGAGATGAGTTCTCAGCCTCAGAGGATTAAGAAGGTGCTACTTTCAAAGATATGTTACAATGACATATGATACATTATGATATGGAAGAACAGGGAAAGATCAGCAGTGATTACAAAAATGTGAAGAACAGGATGGCAACAGACAATTACAAAAAATTTGTATTCAGAAGTTTGTAGAAGTATAGATTCTTCTGCTACTGAAAGGTAGTGAACTTGTTATGTTCCTGCTGATGTGATGACAAGGGCTCTTCATTTATTCTCTAGATAACTTGACACCAGTCTAATTGAAAACAAAATGCGGTAAAATAAGAAGAACAATAAAATAGTAATGATAACAACCATCAGACAACAGAAACAAATGCAGGAACTGGCTGGACGACCTTGCCCAAAGAGTTACCATCAATGCTTGAATGTTCAAGTGGGAATCAGCCACGTACGGTTTCCCTCAAGGGTCGGTACTGGGGCCAAAAGCATTTTGTCAACTTTCATCAGAGTGTCATTGATACTGGGAGCAAGTGCAGCCTCAGCGAGTTCACAGATGACACGAAGCTGTGTGGCCATGGGTGTGTTTGAGGGAAGGGATGACGGCCACAGGGAACTGGACAAACTTGGAGAAGAGCCCATGTGAACCCCCACCAACCCCTCCTGCAGTTCTGTGTCCAGCTCGGGAGGCCCCAGCACAGGAAACTCATGGCCATGACAGAGCAGGTCCAGAGGAGCCCCACAGAAACAGACACAGGGCCTCAGGCTGGGAGAACAAACCCTGCTGAGACTGCAGAAGAGAAGCCTCTGGAGAGGCCTGCCTGAGGCCTTTCAACATACAGCAGTGGGGGACTTTTAAGAAAAACAGAGATATTTTACCAAGGCCTGCAGTAGCAGGATGAGGAGCCCAGGTTTTAAACTGATGCAGCGTAGCTTCAGAGTAAAGGAAGAAATTTGTTCTGGCGAGGGTGGAGAGACAGTGGAACAGGTTTCCCAGAGAAGCTGTGGATGTCCCACCTCTGGAAGTGTTTAAGGCCTGGTTGCATGGGGCTTTGAGCAACCTGGTCTAGTGAAGGATGTCCGTGCCCATTTAACTGTGGGGATGGACCTAGATAATCTTTAAATGCTCTTTCTATCCTAAACCATTCTATGATTCTATGACTGTGATCCAGAAATAGACGAATATATCCCCTCCAGCATATCCTTGCAAAAGGACCAAAAAATATAACCGAGATTTTCCTCATCCTTGCCCTCAGCTCTACCAGGTCACTTCTCAAATACATCTCCCTCTTCTGCTATTAAATGGACAAGTGCTGAGACTTCTGCTGCTCCCACTGCGTGTATGTTTCCACCGTAGGCAAAACTTACTAATTAAAAGAACTTCCTGGCAGTTAGTTCAATATATCCATTTTGTTCAGATTGTCTGCTGTTCTTTATAAATCTTTGTAAATGTTTGATCAGATTTATCCCCTGCATCACCTCAAAAACCTGATTCTTATTATCACTGCTGGCATATGCCCCTTTACAATGCTTACACAAATGTGTGATAAATCTGCTATTTCCCTTATTTACTTTCTAAGCTACTTGTTCTTAATTCTCATCTTTTTCATGAGTGTAAAGAGGATTGTGAGAAGGAATATCTCTGCTAGATAGCATTGATTTTATTGGAGTTCTGGGCAAACAGTAAGAGAAAACCCATCACTTGTGATTTCTCAAGCCAAACTGCGCAAAGCCTGGCAGAGCACCTGCAGAACAGCCACCCCTCTGAGAAAAGGTTTAACATGCATGCACTGATCCTTGACTAGTGAGTAAGCCCAGCCTTCCAGGGCCACTCTGACTTACCTTGGCTGTCCACACCAGACCACTCACCAAAACTGCATAGACCAAGGCTTTGCCACAGAGGATGAGGTAAGTGAGCTTCAGGGAATTTCCATACCGCAAGTACGACTCTGCAAGTCAAACACCATTTGTATTTGTGTATTCAGTTTTCATCATCATCACTACAAGATGGTAGTTTCAATGGAGCTTTCATCAAATGAGAACCCTTGAAATCCTTAGCTATGCAACATCAAGGAACTAGAGGCAAATGAGTGGCTCTGTTGACACCAGAAAACCAGGGAAGGGACAGAACATGGAGACTTAAAGAACCAAAAGAGAAAGCAAGTCTAGGAAAGACAAAGATCGGCTTTATGCTGGGAAAGTATTGAGTTCCACACCCACTGATGAACTGGGCTGTTCATCTGAGTCCCCAGATAGGAACAGAAAATAGGCTGAATCGCACGATACAAATGTTTTATTTTGTCTCATTACTGAGACTGGCCTTAGGAGTGCTGCTGATGGACCAGGAAATTTTTACAAAGCCCAGAATAAGATGGCTTCTAGATGTTTTATTCTTGTGGATTTTTCACTCTTAAGGGGTTGCCATAGTATTGAGATACAAGATCTGTCTTGGTTCAGCCTTAAGATTGCTGAAGCATTAAAGAAGCTCTTGAAAAACTGGAGTGTGCAAATACGTGTACAAAGAGGAAAGAAATGTAATTTGTACTATTGATATCCTCCATACAGTACAGAAGTGTGGAGCGGAATGTGACTTGTCATGGGAATTGTTCTGAGTTTGATACTGAGAAATATTCAGAATATCATATTCTAAATCTTGATGCCAGAATCACTTGGGCAAGTATGGATCATTTCTTGCCCGGCCGAGCAAGAATTTCCCAATGTAAGTCAGTTTCTAGGACTGGAGGAGATGATAAAGAGTACATTTCAGTCTACAGGAAGGTACCATAATTTCTTTTGTTTTCAAATGGAATCACATGGGAGAGCTAAAGCCCAAAGCTGAGCTACATACAATATGCACAAACAGCCCTCCAAAAAACTTTTCTTCTTTTCCTTTCTTTTTAATAGCACAGACAAATCACTTACAGGAGAAAGAAGAAGCTATTCATACAGCAGATATCTCCCACACGTTGTACTTAATGTTAGTAAAACTGGCATTAAAATACACACTGATAACTGCCTGAGAGTAGAGGCAAAATTCTCTTTATGGGAGTAGCCACACGTACCTTCTGTGAGTGCACAACCTGAAAGACAAAAATGAACGGAAAGTCATGTTTCTTTTCAGAGCAAACAAAATACAGATTTTAGAAGTTTCACTATATAGAGCACAACACTGCCTCGTTCCTCCTGCTACTCTAGGGGCTTTATGATACTGTGCAATTTACCCCACTACAGAGATTTCTCAGTGGAAAGCCTCAAAAAACTCAGCATTTAGAATGCTATCACAGGGACAAAGGCCCAGGAATGGGAAGAGACATATGCTAATACCTCAATATTTAGGTCTGTATTTGCGCCAGAAGAACACCTTGTATGGAAGCTACATATAGATGTGGTTATATCAAAACACTTGCTCTTTTGATTTGTGATTTCTATCTTAGACAGCATGGTAAGAGATGTTTTTTTTACTCACCAGCATCACCAGAGATAAATTTGTTTATTGATGCTGTTGTTCCATTCTGAAAAAAATTGGCAACACACTCGAATCGATTCAGAGGGTTGAACCACTCCCAGGCTGGCATCCTCAGTCGGCTGGTCAGTGAGTAGGTGCTCCCATTCTGTGTGGAGGACTCGTCTGTCCCCACCCCTTCAGTCCTCTTCACACCATTCACCCTCCACCCCAGAGTCAGGTGGTCAGGGTAGAAACCAGAGGCCAGGCACACCAGCGTGGCCTTGCTCTTCTGCTGGATCTCCTGCTTGGATGGGGAAAAGATGGCCACAGCTGGAGGTATGATTTCATCATTCTTCCCTGAAACACAAAGCAACATGGTCCAGAGCCTCCATGCCTCTGTTCAATCAGAACCCCCTGAAAATGGTCCTGAGTTTGTGCCCTGTTACTCCTGAAATACCTGGCCTTTGCCTGCTGTCTGTTGGACAATTAATGTCTATTGGATATGACACAGCAGGAAAGTGGAAGGATTTCTTTTCACTCGTTTCACAGAAACATAAAGGGTCTGGCCACAGAAATGCAGGAGCACATGGATTTCTTGTAGTGCCTCTGTCAGAAGAATACAAAGCTTCAAAGAAACTGAGCAAACAGATGGGCAGAAAAGTCCCCAGTTTTGCTGTTAGGCCTGTATTTGTAATCTTCTATGAATAGATAAGGGAGTCTCTTTTAAGGCACAAACATCTTCAGCAAACTGAGTTATATAGCTGGGGATGGAGTTAAGACACATGGTGGTCATTGCAGTGCTCAGATTTATGCTGTCACAGGATACCCTACTTGGCTCCCCATCTACGAGATGACCTGGAAGGAAAGAGCTGATCCTTCTCACTGTCTGAAGTGAAAAACAATTGTGGCAGGTAACATCAATCTGCCAAGGTTTTGCCTTGGGTCTTAACCAATCCATTTTTAAGAATATTAAACATGTCTTTATGTAATTTAAATTTTCGATTATTGTCGGTATGAGAAGCTCTGATCCTAGGCTACACACATTCCTAAAATGATGCAAGATTCTATAGACTGGCAAATCAAGCATTGTTCCCTGTCCTAATGTGTTTAATATCTACTTTTAAGATTAATGAAAACAGACCTCAGCCAAAAGGATGTACGAGGCAGCCATGAGAAGTTATTCAGAAGCTAAGCAGGGACCCTAAAAGCCAGGAAGTTTTCATATACTATATCTCATGCTAGATGAGTAAAAAAGTATATTTTTGACTCATCTAGCATGAGAAGCCCATGAGGTCTGTAGAGTGCTGGTGGAAAAAAACAATGTAGGGAAAACTATGGAGCCAAAGAGAAGATTATTACTCTGGGTTGTTTTTTTGTATCAAGGCACTATGAATTGTGGTTGTTCTTTCTGATCACTCTCTCCTTTGCAGAGGAAGAGAGGTAGCAGAATGAGCAGAAATGAATATCTTGCAGAGATCTTGTCCCCTAAGCCCTTGTGTTTGCATTCAAGTGATGCCTTAATTGTGACCACCAGTGCTTGCTCTGCAAAGATCCCTGGGCTGCTTCTGTATGAGCTTGTACAGACTTTAGATGACCTGGATATTAAATGGAAATAACTCCCTAGAGTGTTTAGCACTGCTCTCTTTCCTTTTAGTGGGTATGGAGAGAGGCTGATTACTTCTACTTCTCCCTTCCAGCACTTGGCGTTATGATTTTTTTTCCTGTTCTAAAATTATTTCTGACAAATTCTTCAGCTCATAGCCTTAACAGCTAATGAGTGTAGAGGTGGAAACAGATAGTAGGACACCAAAGAAAATATTAAAGCAAAAATAGAATGCCCCATTAAAAAAAAAAATAAAAGGAAGTCAGGTAAAAAGGGACAGAGACAGAATGATAAAAATACTGGAAAGAAAATGGAAATGAGCAGGTTAGAAATGTAATAAGGGGACTAGTAAAAGCAAGAACTGGAAGAAGTGTCTCATCAGTAGCCCATTGTGTCTGGTCTTCTACACTGGTAATTTCCATTCCCATCTTCTATACTATTTTCTTGGAGAATGAGAGGAAGCAGAATTATTTATTGCCTTCTACCTTCATTAAGTTCCCAGGCTTAGAAAGGTGGCAGAAATCGGGATCTCAAAATCCGTGCCTGCAAATTCTTCAGTTTCATAGTAGCACATCTCATTTTAATAAGCATCTAATAAAGCATTAATCCTGTTCTTATGGCTGCATGAAAAATTATCATTATTAAGCTTTTAATTAAGAATGCTCTTGTCTTGTAAACCAGTATCACATAGATCACAGAGATCTGACTTCTTACTTACCTATGACTGTAAGTTTTGTCCCACTGCCAAAGAACAATTGCCTATTATTCACACCATTTTGCAGCTGCAGAAAAACCTCTCCTCTACTCCCAGTCCTCTGAGCCAAGCCTGTGGACTAACCCTCCCCTCATGTGGTATCAGCAAAACAAGAAACACCAAGTATTCAGGTCCCCTAAAAAAACAAGTCTGTAAGGGAACACTACCAAATCTGCGTGCCTAAAGAGCTGTGATCAACACCAGAAATGCCCTGTTCAGAGACATTTTGCTTTAGCTGTAGGTGAATCGGTTGTTGGAGGTTCCACCATTTCTTTAGAGGATATTTGTCTATTAATCTAGGTGTCATATTAGAATATTAGAAAGCATTTCCCATATGCTGACTGAGTAATTTCTTTTTATCAGCTAAATATCCACATTTCCTTTAAATTTTGTTTAACATTTTTAATATTTTTCTCTTCTAAAATAAATGCCTTTTTTTTTACTTGCAAAAAATTTTTATATATATAGCAGTGTCCTGGTCTACTCTGCCCTTCATAGAAGTTCCTAAATATGCCCCCTTTCCCTTTCCATTTCCCTTTCCCTTTCCCTGGAAGGCCTTCCTTGAAAGGTAGTCCCTGCTTTTATTCTCTGTCCTTCCTTGGTGATGATTATTCAAGTTTGCTGCCTAAATGTCTGTGGTCAATGAGGGGTCTGCATATTCATTTTTAGCAGCTTAGGCACCACAGATAAACTTTGGATTTCAAAAAATGTGCTGATCTTTTTTTTTTTTTTTTTAATAGAGATTGAATTTCACCACCTGTTATCAATTTATTCTGTAGTGGCACAATGTGGTAGAAATATATGAGGCATCAATTCGTTGAACTCCAGGGGCAACACAAGCAGTAGATCACCATCATTTATCAGCATCTGAGCAGCAGCCTTCTTTTCCCTAGATTTGGACAATCCAAATCCATTATTGTGACTCAGAAATAAACATTCTCTGAGAGCTCCTTCCCCTTGAAATGAATCATATATTCTTCTTCTGTGGTTTTCAGTGGCTGTTTAGCACCTATTCTGAAATAGTAAGACTGTTGTCCTTAATGATCTTTTTATCACCATCCTGGTGAGCCTGTACAATGGAAAGAAACTGGCTCTGCTGTGGAGAGCTACTTTCTATAACAACAAGGACTTAAAAAGCTGCAGAGAGATTTTAGTATTGCTTGTTATAAAGCTAAGCATTTATTTTTGCCTTCTGTTTCATCAACCAAAAATGTCAGCACATGTGTGTTTCCCGGTTATCTGAGGCAACACATTCTTTAATTTACCCTGGAAATATTCAGGGTACTTTGAGTTTGTATCATCTTGATTTTGTTTCCTAGACCCCTTCAAAGTGTAACTGTAAGTCAGTTGTTTCCAGACAGATAGACACCTTTTCACTGACTTGTCCTTAATCATCTCTCTAGCCCCAGCAGAACCAGCATTACAGAGAGTAGCTATACTTTTGGGGAATTTTTTCATGTGTTGATTCAGTAGGAAAACTTTTTTTTTATGTCATGTACACATTATTTATCTTATCCCTTATCCTCATTCTTTCTAGGGACAGCTTTTTCTTTACTGAAAATGCACTAATTCCATTCTCCAAAATGAGAGGTGGACCGCTACCTAGAGGACCCAACTTACTCTATGAAGTAGACAGGGTTACTAGTGCACCAGGAGAACATCAGTTTAATAATGAAAGGGAGAATAATCATGAAATTCTCTAATGAGAAGACATGGCAATTGAAGTGAATTAAAAGAGGAAATAGAAATTTCTTACCCATTACTGTAAGTTTTGTGCCACTGCCGAAAGACAAACCAGAGGTGTACACCGTGACCAAGTGATGTATCATAAGCTAAGAGAAGGCACTGCAGCTGCCTTACTATAATCGAAGCCTAAGAAATCTGCATTTGGAATTCCAAACATCACTCAATCTCTGTCTAAACGGATATCATAGAAAACCAGCTTGAAATCAGTTTTATAGTCTGTAGAATTCATAAAAGCATTTCCTAGATTTGTTTGATACTTTGTCTACATTTCACCCCAAGCTGTTTTTGCCACCTTTCTCCAATCTCCATGTTACATCACTTATTTTATCTGCTATTCTCATTTTGCACATCTCGAAAACAAGCCAAAGGCTGTCACTGTCTAGGAATAGAACTCTTCCACACCTAGAACTTCCGCACTGTCAGTCTTGTATTCCAAGCATTTTGACACCTTATTTTCTGCAACTTGTGAAGTTAATAAACAAATGATATGTGCATTGTGGTTTTCATAGTCAAATTCAGGTGGTTCACCTTTGGCAGGGAACTAAAACAAATCCCACTGTTTTCCCTTCCATGGCAGGCCAGTTGGCTTGAATACTCTTGCAGAATCCCGTTCAGTTTTCTGATTGGTTAAAATAATCCACACAAGGAGAGCCCAGAAGAATCTGTTGACCAGTCCCAGACAAACACTTCATAGCCATTAGGAAGAACTGCAGTGAGACAGCAGGGATAGGGATTACAGGCAACCTTTGTTCTCACAGACATAAGGCAGTCAACAGATATTGGAGGATTATTTAAGACAGAAAACCCCAACACATTTCATGTAGTGCCTCTGAGAGATACCTGCTACATGTCAGAATTCTAACACTTGTACCACATTAAGAAAGAAACGTTTTGTCATCTATTGTAAACATTGGTGCATCAGGAAAAGATAATAATTCCAGCTTTGCACGGTTGATTGGCTTTAGATGCATCTGCAGTCACAGTTTGGTTTGGTGAAAATTAATTTCGATGTCTCAGAATTTCCTAGCTTGCTTGCCAGGGAGGGCAGGCTCAGTTCTCAGATGATGAAAGTAAATCCCAGCATACAAGGTGTGTTAAGAGAAACCAAGGCAGAGCACGCCTGTTCTGCTGCAGGATTCTCTGCAGCTGCCTTAACATGCTCTGCCCCAAGGTGCAGGTACCCATGGGTTTTTGTAAAGGCTTCCTGGAGAATGTATCATCGTGGATCCCCCTGTCCCCACAATGATAGAGTCTCCTACAAAAACAGTCTCACCCATGACTCCACCCCCTGTTTTTGTTAACCGGGAAGGATTGCTATGATTACCTATGCTGATTTGGCCTGTGGTTCAGTTAATTTACTTGAAAGAGGCTGCTGTGGGGCTGTCTTTTGGGCTTGTTCTGCAAATACTGTTGACAAGATAGAAATGTTTTTGTTATTGCTGAGCAGTGCTTACACAGCATTTAAGGGCTTTTAGGCTTCTCATACCAACATGCTGGCAAGGAGGCTGACGGGGCATAGGAACTTGGGAGGAAGGACAGCAGGGAGAGCTGATCCCAACTGATCCAAGGGATAGTCCATATCCCATGCTGTCATGTTCATTATGTGAAAGGGGCAAGTAGGGGAAAGAAGAAGGAAGAGAGGGAGATTTGGAGTGATGGTGTTTTTCTTTCCAAGTCACCATTACAGGTGATGGGGCCCTGCCATCCTGGGAATGGCTGAACCCCTGCCCACCCATGAGAAGTGGAGAATGAATTCCTTGTTATGCTTTGCTTGTGTGCACAGTTTTTGCTTTACCTCTTAAACTGTCTTTATCTCAAGCCATGAGTTTTTCACTTGTGCTTTTCCGATTCTCTCCCCGGTCCTGCTGGTGGGGAGTGAGCAGGCAGCTGCGTGGGGCTTGATCCTGGCTATGGCTAAACCATGACAGAGCCACAGACCACATCCTTCCTTTGCCACTGCTGTTTCTTTGTGATAGTCCAATTACCTCTCAGTGTATCTAATAGTCCTCAATTTATAATCTCAATAATTTTTCTTATACTCAAAAAGGTAACACTTTTTATTCTTTTATAGGTTGGCTTTAAATGCAGTCATTTTTCACTTGGTAATGTCATGGCAGTGTTCATGCTGCTTTCCTTTCTATTCTTTTTCTCTTTTTCCCCCAGGATGACAAGCAAACCTCAAGCTCATTTTTTGCAATTTTTGGTTTGCAATGAGAGTAATTTACTTATTATGGGCTGGTGTTTGTCTTTGTATCTTGGTGTTGCTTGAGAGCATCTTCCTAGGGCTTGTGACTCTGCCTATGAAAAGTCTTCACCTAAGAGTAAGGGAGCAAGAACAAGCCTTCGTTTTCAGACTGTCTGAAGGGACAGGAAATAATGGGGAGAGGTAACAGGCTACATTCATCCCCCCTCCTTATATGTAAGTGGCAGGGTCTTGGCTCACAAAGTTTCAGCACATAGTTACCAACCTGACCAAGTACCTCTAGTAAACCTGTTTTTCATATTCGTCTTTTGAGTCTGCCTGGATATGAAAAATAGACTGCAAATCACTGGACAAAATCCCTCAAAACAAGGTCATTCTACGAGGAGAATCACAAAATATTTTTGATGTTATTTTCAGATATCAGAGAAGAACCCATAATTGCTCATACAGTCTGTTTAGCTGGGAAGAGGTGTTAGTGTCTCAGAGAAAGGAATGAGAAACATAGACTAAGGTGTAACATGTAGGACCAATAGATAGGACTACAGAACACAAGGTATCAGGTAGGTCATCTCAGCATGCTCCTGGGTTGCTCCCTCTTCTACAACAGTGAACAGAATACTTAAGTCACTAATTATGTCTGTTTATACAGAACTTTTGTTTGTATATACTGAACTCTTCAAAAAAAAATACTTTTAGGATTTTTTTTTTTCTGTCACTGCCTAAATAATAAAACAAATAATGGAATATTATTTTCCTGCCTTGGCCTTAGTATGCCTGTGATCTCAACACCATTTATTCAGGGTCTGAACCCATTGGACTAAAATTCATTTAAGATAATTCTGTCTGCATCGTCAGCCTAGAGCTCTATTAGTGTCCTTCATGACACTTGCACACTCTCTTCCATTAGCGTCTTTAATTTAAAAAGAATGAAGTCACCTTTCTATTAGTTTTGAAGGAACATGCGGTGCTAGCAGCTCCTCAGGTCATGTTCAAAAGGCAATTTCCAAGACATGCCAGCAGAGACCAGTCTTGTTGCACCTTGAAGTTCCTTGGCAACCTGCCGAAAAGAAAAGGATTTGCAGGCCATGAATACAAATAAATGTGAGTGACAGAACAAAGGGGAGGGAGATCCTTGATTTTTATTTCCAACTCTTTCATAGGATGTTTTTGAGCTTTGGAGACTATGCTGCCTAATGCATCAGACAAGGAAAAACAAGAATGTGTAAGGAAGAAACATTTAGGGATATATCTTATAACAATTATATTCTTTTTGTGGGAGAATTTCACAGGAAACGAGAGATTGCATCAGTCATATCTGTCCTGCATTCTTTGGAGTTTACAGAAACAGCAAGTACAAAGAAGCAGGCCATACTACAGAGACACCCTGAGCTTTACTGATTTGTTTTAGAGACACTAGGACACTTTCCATAAACATCCGATGCTTTTGGCCACAACCCCATAAAGTTAAGCAACAGCTCTTCTTCAGGGCATATGTGTGCAATGAAATGATATGATGGTGGAAGAAGGGATCTGATTAATAATTTGGCTTCAAAGACAGAGGTTGCTGCACTGCTCTGTTGCTCATCCATTCAGAACATCCTGGTTCCCTTGCACCAACTTCTACGTTGTCTTCTTTCTGCTCTTCCTTTGCCCCTCTCCTGACTGTCTCACATTTTTCAAAGACTCCATCTCCCACTCAGAGAAGGTGGGGATTTTATCTTAGTGTTCAACCCCGTCGCTACACCGTGCGATCGTTCGCAGCACAGAAATACGTGGCTTCATCCTGGGGTGTCACATTCTTGATTGTCATCAGAAAGTGATAAGTATTCTGTCTGGTTACTTCAAACTTGGCCTCACTGTAACCATCTTCATAATAGTTATGACTCCATGTACTACTGCTGACTATTAACTTCAAACCATTTCTTGGAAGCTGCTGGTACCAGTACATATAGGCAAATTTACTATAATTCTGGTAGCAGGAGATGGTCAAAGAGCCTCCAGGTCTCTGATGGATTTTTTCAGGCCACTGAGCAATGTAGGCTCCAATCCCAACACCTGCATTAATAAGAGATAACAAGAGAGTGTGAGGGGTAGGAGTACAGATGATGACCAAAGGGATCCTCTAGCTAACGATAGCCCTGCATGGCGTGGATGAGAGCCCTGCTGCAGACAGATCTGTTGTTTCTCACCAGGGAAAAGGGCAAGCACAACAGCCAGCATGGCCCTCCAGCAATCCCAGGACAGTGTGCTCCTGCTCACTGTGAGATGAGAGTTAAGAGAGACCAATGCCCCTCCCCTTGCTCTGTCTGTCAAGTTTGGGCAGAGAAGAGAGAAGGGACTGTCCAGCTTTGATACTTTCCTTGGTGAGCCAGTAAAAGCAAAGCTAAATATTCATGTGGCTCCAAGGTCTGCTTTAGCTTTCCCACAAGGCCGTGTTCTCAGCTCCTGACACAAATGTGGAATTTCTCACAGACCACTGTGTCGCTGGCTGAATGCTGAGCTCTCATTCCATGCTGGAGCTCAAACAGGAACGTAGGATCAGTGGATTCATAAATGATTTTTTTGACCCATTTACATCATTGGCTATTGGGCCATCTTTGCAGAAGGATTTCCAGCAAAAGTACACCTATTTCTGTTTCATTCTGAAGAGTTTTCTTCATATCGGAGCACGGCATTTCACAACTTGGATCACATTAATCAGAAGCAAAGATGACAGATCAAGACAGCAAAGGCACAAAAAGTCATGTTTAATCATATCTTAGTTCCTTCAGATTTCCAGCCAGGGATGCATATTCCCTGCTAATCAATCTTCCTGGGAGCTTTAATTCACTTTTACAAAAATTAAGACATCTCCACAAGCCATTTTTCTTCAAAAGAAAAACCATAGTTAAACAT